GCTATGAAAGTCGCTCCCAAGTAACACATAAAACATCTTTTTGAAAAATATTTAGAACGGCTTGTTATATAAATGTATTATAAGTGATGTAGAAAACATCCCACGTTATATATGAGGTTTATAGATGTTTTTTTTTCATACTTCCTAGATTCAACATTTTCCAAAATAGTTTTTATTGCTTTTATCTTTAAATGTTATTTAAACGTGCATCTTACTGTTTTAATACCACCATAAAACTTGTCGAATACAAAATCAATCTTAGTTGAATTTATAAAGTTCTTGAAGAGATTCTGAACTTTCCAGATTGACGTAAACATTGACGGCGCCATTGAGCCGGACTGTCTCTTCACGCAGTGATTGACAGTTTCTTATGAGGTATTCGAAGGTTTGTTATAAAGAAAGTTGAAAACACTTGTTTATTACATCTCATAAATTAATATAACTGAAAATGTGCAGGTTGTCTTATAAGGAGTTGAAAATACTTTAAAATAACACTCTGGCAATTAGATGTACGCTTTGCTGCTAACAAAACATCTTTATGACGGATTGAAAGCGTGTTGAACGAGAATATAATTTTCATGCCATTGGCAAGAACATGATAGATACTTATAACAAACCTCTCATCAAGCGGAGTTGGTCTAGTTAGGAAGTAGTAAGTCTACCACGCCAAGGACCAGTGATCGAATCCCATGCTCAAGTTCTTTTTTGATGTTTTTTTTTGCCGCCGGTTTTTATGATGTTTCCAAAACATGTTATAAGACCAGTATTTAGTTGTATAAGCTCCGCGACTTGCGCTTTTTAGGTTATATAAATGTATTTAATGACGTATATTACAGTATTATTAATTCTTTACGTAAGTCATTAAAATGTATGTTCAACTTCTTTATGACAAGCCGTGTTGCTTGGGCTGTAACCTCATCGACCTGGAGCTCTTGGAAGGAAGGCGTAATGTGGCGAAGGCTTGTTTCGTTGCGGATCTTCTGCAAGGGAACGTCGACTGCTCCACACTTCTCAGTCTTCTTGACATCAACACTCAACGACGGGACCTCCGGCTGCATGCGTTCTTCAACAACCGGCGTTCGAGGACCAACTATGGCGTACACGAACCAATGTTGAGTATGTGCCGCGTTTTCAATAGTTGTTATTATGTGTTCGATTTTAATGTGTCCCGCGAGAAAAATAAGCGTAGCTTTAAGAGATGTTTGCGTTAATTTTGTGTTTGAAGCAGTTTTGATGTTTAGATATAGAAAATTGTCATTAGGGTAACTATTTTATCTGTTGACAAGTAGAAATAAATAAATCGGGTTCTGATTAGCCTCCCAAAGTTACAACTCATTTGGTTAGAAACAGCCTTCGCACAAGCCATTTGAAGTTTACATGTAAATTACTATAGGAAATCTCAACTTTTTGTTCATTGCCTTCTAGTCTTTTTCCATATTGAGCTGCGAAACAATTCGATAGCCATTCTTATAGAAAATTTTTTCAGCTACAACTTTGTTGAAGATCGTTTCTGTATAAAACGAGACAGGAAAAAGTTATTGATTATTTAAGAGATTAGTAAACTTATGACATGATCAAGCAGCTGCTCTGTAGGCAACACTGTATTTTGCAGTGTGGCATAGTAGCCATGATGTTTGTGTCCTATTCAACGCCCAGAAACACCAATGTTGCCTGCTGAGCAGTTGATTGAGCATGGTCATAGGACATCAGCGCATTGAACCATTGATAACATTCGATACTTGCATTTTATCAAAAAGTGTCTTCAGTGAAGTTGTAGCTGAGAAAATTTTCTACAAGTACAGTTGAAAGCTTTTAAAGCAGACCGATATGGTGAATTATTAGATAGACATGAACAAAAATCTTGGTTTTACCATAGTAATTCCCATACAAATTTCAAATGGTTTGTGCCATCTCAGTCTCTCACTAAATGTGTTCAAATTTTGAGAGGTTAGTCAGGATCCGATTTGGAATCGTTTAAGTACTGTGGAGCGAAAATTTCAAATTTTGCATCACTCTAATGCCTCACGCGATCGAGGTCATCCCTTTGGCAAATGGGAACGATGAAAATAAATCTCGATTACTCACTCGAAGGGACGCATCCGCTCCCGCAAACAATGCATCCGATCCCCAATCCGGCGCAACCGACATCTCCCCCAAAGGATTGAGATCCGGTGATCAGTGCCTGAAATATTCATTTTCATTGACTAAATATTTGGTGTATTCAATACACTTCACATTCACTTTCACTTCCGGCTACCTCTTTCGACCATTCCACCACTGTGCCGTTCAGACAGATCTTATTAATCTCCAACGGAACAAGTCTGGGAGATTTAGAGTGTGGAAAGACGATGACCTGGGTCTTTACCGCGTTGATACGGATCTTCCAGCTGTTGAAATATTCAGACAGGACGTCCAGGTGTGGCAGTCAGAGCTCCTATGACCCAACCCTTGTATACGATGGATGTGTAATCTGCGAACAGAGACAACGATCCACCATCAGGGAGAGCCGGCATATCGGAGGTGAACAGGTTGAATAGAATGGGGCCAAGGATGCTTCCTTGAGGAACTCCAGCACCGATGTCGCATCGAATGCTATTCGATGCGATGCCTCGGAACGTCCCGTTCGATAGGTAGTTGTATATTATCTTCTCTAGGAAGATTGGAAGACCGTAGTGCTGCAATTTGAACACCAAACCATCATGCCAGACATTGTCGAACGCTTTTTCAACGTCCAACAACCCCATGGCAGATGTTTTCGAAACAGACTTGTTCCGCCTGAGAATGTTTGTCACTCGAGTCAGCTGGTGGACGGTCGAACGACCTTTCCGAAAACCAAACTGTTCCTCGAGTAAGATGTTGTTTTGTTCGGCAGATGTTAGGAGCCGCTGGTAGACTGCTCTTTCGAACAGTTTTGATAACCCTGAGAGAAGGCTGATTGGTCGATAACTTGAAGGAGAGGACGGATCCTTTCCAGGTTTCCGGATGGGCATGACTTTAGCTGACTTCCAACACAAGCGGAAGTAGCCAAGTCTGAGGCACTGATTACAAATCAGTGCCAGATGGTTGTAGAATCTGAAACTCAAGTGTTTGAGTTCCAGATTCAGGATGTTGTCGAAACTTGGGGCCTTCATGTTTTCAGATGATTTGATAAAGGCCAACAGTTCGTCAGCCGTAATCTCAGATTCCTCTGGAAAAATGTTAGGAATCTGATGAAGATTGGTTGCGTTTTCAGCAACTACAGATTCATGAGGGCTGACGATGTTTTGCCCGAGATTATGGGAGCTGACGAAGTGTTGACCTATCGCGGCAGCCTTTTCTTCAGGAGTTATCAGATGAACCACTGGGTCGCTGGGACGATCCAAGGGGATCAGAGGTGGAATGGGTCTTGGATTATTTTTAAGGATTTTCGTTAGTTTCCAGAAGGGCTGTGCACAATCTGGGAGAGATCGGATCTTGTTAGCAAAATCTTGATTTCTGAGGTCCACCATCCTGGCTTGGATGGTTTTTGTAAGACGATTGCAATGGGTCTTCAAGACATGTAAACCAGAACGCTGGTATTGCCTCGGATGGAGTTACGGAGTCTGATGAGATCTGGATACTGGCACGTGTTGTTCCCTGGCCCAGGATATCACCTCCCCTATGGAACGCAGACACCGGTCAACGTCTTCGGGCGTCTCCGGAAGGACACCGTAGTCGACAGTGGAGTCGACACAGTGTTGGAACTGCTCCCAGCTGACACGATGGTAGTTGCGTCGGGAAGCTTGGATTCGGTTGACGGATGAGCCTACTTCGGCCACCACCGGATAGTGGTCCGAACTCAGCTCCTGATGGGTCACAGGTAGCGAGATGTTGTCTCCCATGATGCTGATGAAGATGTCTATCGTGGAGTGAACGCCAGACCAGCTCAACCGGGTGGGACAGCCTGGCGCTTATATGGCGTAGCGAGCCTCTTGCAGGTCGTCGTTCAGGATGGTGCCATTTTGGTTGCATCAACTGTTCCCCCAAGCCTGGTGTTTTGCGTTAAGGTCGCCAGCGATGATGTACTTTTCACGCCGTCGAGTTAGTTTGATGATGTCCCTCCGCAGGTCTGCTGCCGACCCGTCCCTGATGGTGACTCGCTTGGGGTAGTAGGTCGCAATGATGGTGATAGGGCCGACAGGAGTGGAGATTTCTACCCCTAAAGCTTCGATGGTTTTGAGCTGGAAGCTCGGCAGAAGCCGACAGCAGATGTTTCTCCTTACAGCAATGGCCACTTCTCCTCCCCCGGAGCTGGTACGATCAAGTCTTAGAAGCCGGAAGTCAGGAAGGTAGATGTTTACCTCCGGTTTCAGGTGGGTTTCGGTGATAACGGCAATATCGATGTTTTGTTTGTTGAGGAAGTCAACGAACTCGATGATCTTGCTCTTGAGCGAGCAAGCGTTCCAGTTGGCGATCTTGATGGTTTCACGGTCCATAACTGAGCATGAAGGTAGCCACAGCTTGGAGCTGGTCGGATTTGTTCTTGATGGTGTTCCACATTAGTTCCGCTGCGGTGAACCACGAACTTGCAGCTTGTAGCTTTGTGATCAGCACCGCAGTTGGCGCAAATGGGATCGGTGTTGTTTGCCACACTTGATGCAGCGGCTGACCATATGGCAATTCTTCGTTACATGCCCGAATAGCAGGCAGTTCGAGCATTGGGTGACTCCACGTCTGACCGGCTTGTACCGCTCCCATTTCACCACTATGTTGAACAGGACGTGGATGCCCTGGAGGTCCATCAAAGTTGTTGAGTTCTTCTTAAGGTGAACCAGGTATAGTTGGTCGCGGTACTTGACGGCCTTGTTGTGGCGGGCCATCTTGTGAATTTGGACCGGCTTCAGTCCATTAGCCACCAAAAGGACGCCTGTTTCCATGTCGTATAGTCCTCACAGGACCACCTTGAACGGCTTAACAGCCTCGATGTCGTGGGAGAAGTACTCCACCTGTGCTTGGTCCAGCATGGCCTGAACCGCGTTTTAATGGTTCAACGTAGGAACCATCAATTTGTATCCTTCCGTGCACAGCTAGCGTCAGTCAGTAAGGAGTTCTACGAGTTATGGGAACGAATTGAGCTGTTGATGGACGATGTTGATGATGCTGATGCTGACAAGGAAACGCAGGAGAAGGGAAATCTGCTAGCTTTGAGTAGTTTCGAGGAGCGATATTACTTCGTGAAGGGCAGTTTGTTGTCGAAGCAGACCCCACTATCATCTACATTGATGTCAGTCGGAAATGGTCACCTTGGTGACCGATCCGAAGCATCATTCTCGAAGGTGAAACTTCCAGAAATTCGCCTTCCGTCGTTTGGTGGGAGGATTAAGGAGTGGGTTACGTTCCGGGATAGTTCCCGCAGCCTGATCCACGAAAACAAGCAGCTAACCGATATGGACAGGTTCAGCTATCTGTCGGTGAATTACAGCGTAGCGTGGAAGGCGCTTGAGTCCCGCTACGAGAACAAGAAGCTGATTGTGAAGGCACATCTGGACTCCCTTTTTGTCGTGGAAGGCTTCAAGCGAGAAAGCTACGACGGACTGAGCAATCTCATCAGCGTTTTCGAGAAGAACCTGCAAATGCTAAAGAAGTTCGGCGAAGAAACTGCTGCATGGAGTACGATTCTCGCATACATGGTGTATTCCCGACTGGATCCTGCCACTCTACGGCAGTGGGAAGCACACCACAACGCAAAGGGTGTACCGACGTATGAAAACCTAATCGGTTTCCTTCTAAATCATTGTGCAGTGCTGGAATCCGTCGCCCCGACGAACTCCATCGAGAAGCCGTTCCATTCTGATCAACGGTCGTCGAAGTCATCCGTGTGTCACAGTACCGTGAGATCTTCAAGCTAGTGCCCATTTTGCAGTGGATCGTGGCATTCTGCATTCGTCTGCGGCAAATTCCAACGTTCTTCAAGTTCCCGAGCGCAGCGAAGTTGTGTTCAAAGCAAGGTTGTGCCTGAATTGTTTGAGTCCTGGCCACATCGCACGTCTGTCGTCACTGCCAACAGAAGCACCTAAACACATGCCGAAACCTTAGTACGCATTCTTTGGAGGAGTAGCGTGTGAAGAACATCCGGCCAGAATAGGCAATTCACCTCATGTTGCTCCAGAAAAGACAGTAGCCTCTTCCGTAGGCATCCCTCCTGGTAAATTTACTGGTTGATGGTCCCAGAAGTAACGAAAGTTTCGCTTTTCACCTCACAACTGCAGATTACTTGTAAGACAAGTATGTAGCTTTTAGAGGAATTCCGACTTCCTTTTGATTTTACATTCTTCCGGAGCACTCTTCCGGTCACCGGAAGTGTAAAATTCCTGCCCAGGAATTGTAACGAATACTGACAGCAGCGGATAGACCGGGATTTTCGTTTCGAACGTGCAGGATCCATTCGCGACGTGCTTGCTCCGGTGAAGGTTTGATGTAAACAAATAAAGTTATCCTGACAACCAATGCTGTGATTCTACACACTCCAACCGCTGCAATCCTCAATTGCAACCAGTGATGGAAAAGTTCGCAAAAAATCACTATGACTCACGATTTTTTTCCCTTGGTGAACTTCGTGAAATATCGCGAACTTTTCCAATACTGATTGCAACCATTTATTCCCTTTATAATTAGATAATATTTAGTTTTAGTTTTTAGTTTTAAGATTTCAAATGTTGTACCGAGGGGGACGACTCTATCTATGATGCAAAAAAGATTGTGTTTTGCTGTGGCAAGCTGCGCGCACGCTGAGTAGATAGAAAGAAGATTGATGACGATTCTGAAGATTTCCTGCAAAAAGATGATGAGCGATGCAAGTAGATGCGACAAATGAAAGAAGATTTTTCGAAGATTGATTCGCTAGTGTGAGATTTGTTGAGCATCTAAACTTGAGATTTAGATGTGTCGCCCCCCTCGTGTTGTACTGACATGCAGGTTTAGAAAACCTGTTTAAAATACTGAATTGTCAAGGCAAGCACAATGTAAAAACACTTAGATATATATCTTGAAAATGAAGGCTGGTAAGTTACTGTAGTAACTTGAGCAACTAATTTATAATGAAATGTAATTTAATATGAATTGGGTACAAATAAAGAAACAAAACTTAGATTCAGCATTTGGCAGGTTACCACATGTGCAAGGTCGCTGGTCTCATACACGTCAGGTAGGAATAGGACGAGCATTAGGTCAAAATCAAATGGATAATCAATTCATGTTCTAATCTATGTACTAAGCTGTTTGTGAATGAATATTGCAGCATTGCACTTTTAAACCACTGTGCATCGATAATAAATTCTCGATATTATAATGTTTTACATAAGACGGCTATTTTGCAAGATTCCTATAGAATATTGGCTCCATTTATATCACTGTTGTTGCTGGAAATCAGCTTAATGTATGGAATTAATTTACCAGGGGGTTAACGATATTATGCGTCTACTTTCAGTCGTTTCGATGGTTTATTCCATCTTCTGGGACGTACCTACTTAACTGACCATACCATCAACTGGCTGTCGGCAAGGTAAGTGAACAGATGAAAAGAATGGCAGCCTTTTTTTTTTGCGTGCGATAAACCCTTTTTTATAAATCGATCTCCTGACGGGTGAGATATTCAATGGAATGGAAGAAAGCAACGCATAAAGAACTGGGTTATGGAAACTTGTACCAGCCGCTTCCACCTGTAGCGCATAAATACCAGAGACCGTCGTACATTGTTCGCGGAAGGTCAAGGCTGGCTCGCGGTTGAGGAGATTTATGAGCTTCGAGTCGGGAAAACGAGTTTTTGAAAATCCATCTGAACTAATAAACTCATATCTGCGAGTGATCAGACCTCCTTTGGGGGTCGACTGTAGGACAAATTGTTTTCCAATTCCAGTCGCAAATTCAATTAGCCTTTCTGGGTGCGAAATTGAGACACGAAGCATGTCAATAAAATTCCAATCTGATGATGAAGTGACGTTTTGGCCTTTTCTCCTTCGATTATTCTGCCAAGAAGGGGAAATGTATGTAGCTCAGGGTGTTTGTCGGTGTGCTTCTCGGCGGCAGTACACCGCCAAATATGGTCCCGTTGCAGTGCTCGGTTGCTGCTTGTGACAGATTACGCCAATTTCGCAACCCACATGTAGAGTAGCAAGTCGATCCGAGCCGAGTATTGTCAATCGCACTCATGTTCTCTCCAGCAGCGTGTTTTGCGATAACTGCCTCAGTCTCTAGAACCAGTTCCACCCCTTCAGGTACAACTCACCGTTTAGTCGTCAGGTGTCTTTACGCAGCGTACCGTTACACGTGACTCGTGTAGATACAAGCATAAATAGACGCGGCGGCAGGCAGGGCAACAGGCTAGACAGCCCGACAGACACAAACAGAGCGTTGATTTTCAATTGAACCTGAATTGCGAGTGAAGCAGACGACGACGGTTCATTGATCAGCATCCGTCGCAAAGGGTCTAACCCTTATTGATTGGCGAGCAAAATTGGAGTGTCACTTGCGGCCGCTGGCGACAGGTGTGTCGGAAAACCGCTGATTTACCCTACCGCGGTCGGTCGGTCGGTCGACAGCTTCTGCAAACATAGATCATGAAAAATGCGTGGTCGGAGATTGATAAAAACGCCTGGCGAACGCGCCAAAAGGCAAGTTGATTTAATTCATCAATCTTGCCGCCTTGATCTGTGGCGGCTGCAGCTGCTGTCGGCTGTTTATGAATTAAAAACCGAAGTTGCTTAAACTGTGAACTGGATTTCGTTGCGTGCGAGTGAGACTGGTTGCGTGTGGGGAGCGTGTAAACAAATAAGTCATTAGAATGGAAATTAATCAAGCACAGCTGGTGGGACTGGTGAAGGGTTGTGATAGAATGAGGACGCTCTTATCATGTCATATATTGATGTTTATAGCATTTCAAATTAACATGAAGCTATTTAAGATCCTAAGTTTAAACAAAATTAAACTAGTCTTGCTTGAGATCTAAAAATGCAGGACGAAGACGCTAGAAAGTCAAAACATTCGAACTTGTCAGTAATTAACAGTAGAATAAATGTTATAAAGCAAGTGACCTGCTTGCAGACGTATGATAGTGACATCACAAAGGTATTCAATGTTATTGTTTCAACAATAGAATATACTTTTGCCAAAAATCGGAATTTTTCATCGGTCTTAGATTTCCACAATTCATCCAGGTAGTTCATGCATGTGGTCCTTTAAGTCTAAGGTAAAATAAGCATACCCATCTTGCAAGGATTTAATTTAAGAAATGGTATAGTTTCAAAAAATACCACGATCAATAAATTAAATTTCTCATATACCTGTCTATGAAAATGCTAAAAAAAAAATCTATAAATCATTCAAAAGTTGAAATCTGAACATTCGTCGCATTTAATAGTTGTTCCATTAAATTTCAGGCATCTTGTAGCACCTTGAACTTCAGTTCATCTGAATTTTGAGATTATAAGCCAATGTCCGCCAATATTTTTTTGTTCACGTCAAGATCGCATTTCGCTGGAGTTCAACCTGTTTACAATTAGCAATTTAACAACCAAATATTGCCATATATAATCATAGCTTCATGTATACTAAAACCCACCTCAGCTTTCAGGATACTAACAGATATAAATGATCTCCACAAAAAATAAAGTTCGTTTTTCATGCTTTAAAATGAAACTTGTTGCAAGTGCAGCCACTTGCAGCTAGCTTAGTCATAAAGTTTTGAAAATGAGCTACTTTTTGCTTAAAAATCAAAATATCTCTCAAAAATAAAGATTTAGAAGCTTGGTGTCTTGGACAATATTTGTATATTTTACTATTTTCTAAAACTTTGGAGAACATGCTGAAGAGATATAACGAAATCAAAATGTAGAAAAGATCAAAAAACTGTTTTTAAGGTGCTAACTTCATTATATTGATAAACGAATGTCATGCCAACTTGACGTCTTGAGCAAAGTTGCTTGAAATTACATTTTCTACAACTTTGCCTGGAGAACCTACTTTCTATCTGTAGAAATAAAAAAAAAATAGTTCACTGAAGTACAGTTGAACCTTAAGAAAATCTGACGAAAGATTTACGTTTTCGGCCACACGTGAAAATTGCTTGCCATAAAAGGTATTATTCTGGGAAATTTCGATGCCTTCTTCGGCCTGATATACTCAGCTGTAGCATTTTTGGCCATAACAGAATAGAAGACCAGCCCTGGAAGCTGCTTGAAATCCTCCAGGATATAAGTTTCATCGTCCATAACAACGCATTAAATCTTCGTCAAATATTCGCAGTACAAACATTGAGCTCGTGATTTTGATTTGTCAAAATTTGTTTGTCGTTGCGATTTGAAACTGTTTTTATTTTATACGATTTCAGCTCCAAACGCTGTTTTTATTTTTGGACAAAATCAGCTGACATTCCTATTTACGAGCACTGTTCGGGTTTTCCTTCAATATCCTTTTCACCTTTCGGTCCATGACAGGATCATTCCCAACATTCAAAATTTCCAGTGACCATAGGTTTCAACTTACCGAACCGTGCCATTTTCGTGGCCTGACCGTCCTGACATGACCATTTTTCGGATTTTGCTTTATATGTAAATTATGTTGCCGTGTTTCGTCTTCAAAGCTATTCATACGACTGATGCGTCTTTTCAACTTTAGTACATTTGAAATTTTAATTGTTATTTACAGTTCCTAGTCCTATCAGGCCTGTTATTAGAGTATGACCACCTTTATTTTCAGCCCCTACTTAGTACCTTTTTTTTTGAGGCCCAAGGAAGACAACCCTATATTCCTATCAGAGACGTGTTGGGTACCCGCGATCTCTGCTATATGCAGTCGATTTATGTGTTTCTGCAAATGTCTAGTATAAGAATTTAATTCGTTTGTCTTTTGTATC